TTAAAAAAATTAAACAAAAGTGGAGGACATACGCCCTACAAACTGCGCTGCAAGTCCTTTCTGAATAGCAAAACAAATACGTCTAAAAACATATTCATTGGAACCTGCCGTCATGACATTGCTATCCATAACTTCTGGACCCTTCTGAAGAGCTCAACTGCTTCTGAACTTAACAATCCAAATGTGTCAAAAGCAAAAAGAATAAAAACATGCTGGTTAGCCCTACAAGCTTCATCATGTTTTCTAACATTTGCTGCTGCTACATTGGTAGCTACTAGCCCAACCTAAAAAATCCCAGTACCCAACCCGACCATCGGAGATGCTCCTGTAACATCAACACATGTATGATTGTCTTCAGACCAGTTGTAAACCAGAATATCAACAGGACGTAATGTTGATCACCCTTCCTTAGGATCAGTAAGAAAGTTAACTGGAGCTTCCTTCTTCACCTGTACTCCAGCCCGCCAGAACACATCACATAATATATCTCTGACGTGGTCATGCCTGTACTTAAAGCCGGGATAATATTTGCAATGAAACACATGGTCCCCAAAGGCATCAAGTCTATTTTTCTTGCAAACCGAACACAACTCACCATCTAAATATAGAGGGATCATCAACCGATAACGGAGAATAACACGATACTCAACTGGTGTCATCCGTTGTCCCAACCCTTCCATAGGAATCGCAAGAAGGAAGTCTTTGGCATGTTCGGACTGCACACATCCAATCACTGCCTTCTGTCTAGTTGACAACTCAAATTCCTTTCCAAGACTAATCTTGTTGTAGTATGCTTCCGCCAAGACATGTTGGGGTCTAAAGGAGACGGTAGCAGTAGGAGCAAGATAGCTAAGATCAAAATCAGGCATAAAAAGATGTAAACTAGCAAGGGCATCATAAAAAACCTTACCCATTGGTGTCGTCTCACAACCTCTGAGTATGTGGTCTTGAAGATCCTTAGTATGTGTTCGTGATGCTACAAACGCGAACTTCATAACGTCAGTAGCACAATAAATACCAAGTCCCCCAAGACGTAATGGAAGGATCACCATACGCCATTGGAGATCACCAAAGCCAGGACCATCAGAAACCACAATATTTTGAAGAGATGCACGAAGATTGCGGTCAAACAGAACAGCTGCCTCTTGAACATAATCTGGAAGGCAAATACGAAGAACAAATATGAGCTTAGATAAATTATGTGTCGAAACTTTATATCAACAATTAGCTATTGATACGTTTTGAACCCACAACCTCTCCACTTTGAACTACATGTCAACTCACAATTTTAATCCATTTGGGAGTCATGCATGCCTAATTGCTTATTTTGAGACTAAATCCACAACCTCTATGAGGATATTCCTCAAACGGATGGGACTACTTGGTTTGGTGAAAATTTTTAGGGTCTATTTGATTCGGCCGGGAAATAGATATCCTGGTAAATCCATTTACCATGTGCAAATATCCGGGAAATAAAATTTTTATAAAATGACTATTGTACTATTTAGATCATAGAAATTATCGAAAAATCGTGTAAATATATTTTTAGTAAGAATGCATTAACATTGAACTCTAATACGTTCCAACAATTTAACTTATGGTTTCGTTTTAAAATTTTACCCTTTTTTTACTGTGTAATCATACATGAAAAATTTAGATTTCTCGCATCAAACATACCCTTAAGTATTGAACCTTGGAGAAATTTTGCTAAGGGTCTATTTTATTTAACTAGAAAACTTATTTACCGAAGAAATTGGTTCCGGAATCTAAATTCCATAATCTTCTCCTAAAACATAACGAATTACACCTATTTTTTTAGAATCCAAATACATGCTAACCAAACATAGCCTATATATATATTCTTTAATCGGCTCATTTATTGATAAATTGATTTGCCGATGAATCATATAGACCCTAAATTAATTTTCTTTGTACCAGAGAACTGGATCAACTTCCAGCACAAGGAAAAAAAGAAAAAAGCTAGCATCAAAAATAAAAATTAAATGAAAACTTGTTTGGGTTGGGGGATTTGGGCTTTAATCAGTGCATCTAGATTCTAGGGCTTGGTTAAGTGGGCTAGGTCTCTATACATTGGATCTAAACACGGGCTTTCTTGCATTATGGGGTCTTTTAAAAACCAAGTCGCTTACCTGCTTTTGTAACTTCGTTGCCTAACTGCAAAGAGTTGTCTTTGCCTACATGTTGAACAGCTACCAGAAAGATCCAAAGATGTGTTTAAGATATTGGTGTTTATTATCCTACTCCTACACCCCGGAGAGGGTCTGTATCTGTAAACAGTTTGGTGTTGTATTACAACAGTAGAACTGATTGATAATTTTATACATATCATATCAAATTCAATGTATATGTATGCAGAAATATGTGAATTATTTCAAGTATAAAAGAGTTCAAACAAAAAATGGTACCATTGGCTTCATATTCAATTCCACCACTATTGCATACCTTGCATAATCTGATAGTGTTGCTCTGTTGTTAAGAAAGAGATACCCAGCATGAGAAACAAGAGACAGTCAAGTAAGCCAAGGATGACTCCCATATTGGCCATTTCAGGCTCAAAGAAAAGTAAGAAGAGCCACAAGAGCAGTATAGGCAAGCCATTCTTGGCTAACAAACAAGGCTCATGTTTTCATGTAAGACATCTCTTCCTAGCTAGTATCTACAGCTTCTTTGCCCTGCAATGCCATATTGTTGAATCAGTTGGGATTAAGTATTTATAGATCGAATTGGTTGGATGTGTGATGTTTTTATTCCAATATGAACACTACTAAAGTTATTATCAATTTGCTGAGTTTATTATGACTTTGTAGATATCTTATCACCAGCCTCAGCTCGATCCTTACTAAGTGCCCACTGGAATATATTCCCAACAAAACAATATGTGTGTTGATGGTCCGTTTTGCATGCGAGGTTGCCCTCACCAAAGGTCTAGTGTCGTGTAACAGAAGCTTTTAACCCAAGGATTGGTTAAATACCGATAATCAAGATAATAGTAAATAACAGAGAAAATAATCGAAAACCACAATCACACACAAGAACACCAATATTAACGTAATCAGGCAAACCGCCTAATCTACCGGCAACCAACCAAAAAACTTTTACTAATCAGAGAAAAGAAATAATCAACCTAATTACGTACAATCTAGTAATTCCATGCCCCTTTCTCATCTCTCTCACTAGAATTTGAGAAACCCTATTATGAAAACCCTCATAAACTTGTCTCTCCCTATCTAGTAGCCTAGTATTAGGTTCACATCTTGTTTCACTTGTATTTTTCCTTTCCTTGGCTTTATACTTATAGCCTACATTGGTCAAAGTATTTAGAAGTTCTAACTTGAATACAATTGGTATTAGAAACATCTTAGGAAACCTTAAAACTTTTTTTTTGTAGTTTACCAACTCCAATTAGAATTCCATAGACCTTTCCTAATAAGAAACCACGTACTTCTAAATCCCTATAGTTTATGTGAGACAATTTCCAACAATCTCCACCTTGGCAAACCATGAACTTGATTATTGTTGACTCCATCTACATCTATGAAACCTTCTTGATCTACGTTGCCGCCTCCACCCATTTGGGTGTGATCAGTGATTATCGACCAACAAGTTTGAAGTACCCAAAAACTTACCCATAAGATTCCACTTGATGACCATCTTTACCTTCCTTAAGTTCTTTCCTTCATTCTGCAGTCATTTTGTTTATAACAGAATCATGTGACTTAGACATCACTTTGCCTGTATTAGGACCAACTCTAGATCTTAGTATATTGTTCACCTAATAGTATATACAAGCCGCTACTACTCGCGACTCTTTTCATGATCACATCGGAATCTCTGCAAACCTCCACAAGGTCATCAGATTCAAAAGCAAACCTACATTATTGGTACATTATCCCCAATACTCCTGGATGTTTCGAGCTGAATTTTTATTTCGTGGAACTTTTGTGGTTGATTTGATTATTCCCTGGGAACATCATTAAGGGCCCAATAATCCAATAACTAATAACCCTAACAATCTAACAAAGATTTGGTTCTCTTCCTATCATTACTTATTTCGATTCGCACAATAACATTTGAATAAAATTTGCATCCAGAAATTTCATTGAGGTTGGAGTAATATAGGTTTCTGTAAGTGCCAATGTTTGACATCATTTTGTGAAAGTTACAGTGTCAGTGTTGTGTCACAATTTATCAGTGTCAGAAAGTTTACAACGTTCGAACGCTCTACTTGAGTTCGAACGTTCAGTCCACTAGTCGTTTTTATTTTTCCAGTTTTGTTCAGATCGTTCGAACGTTCTTGCGTGATTTTCTGTTTTATTTGTTAGGTGAAATTCTGTTTCAGTCCTTAGGGTATAAATACAAGTTTGAATGTTTTAGAAATCACTTCTTCTAATCTCAGCCGTTTTTCTCTTCTTCTTCCTCTATTGTTAGGGTTTCCTCTTCCTTTCTTAAGGTTTGGTTTCTCCACTGTTAATGTTTTGTTTTTCCCGTTGTTAAGGTTTGTTCTTCCTCCTTTCTTCTTTATTATTCATTATTATTTGTGACTGAGAGAAAATTCTTAGTGCGAGAGTCTTGAGAGTGAATCAAGTTGCTCCGACAAGGCTGTCGTATATATTAGAGATCGCCAGTAGGGTCAAGTTACCTGTGTGGTTAAAGCTTTGACAGCGTGTTTCTCTTGATTATAGTGGATTGTGATATCACCAATTGGTGTCGTGGTTTTTTTTCGGTTTGGGTTTCCGAGTTAAAATCTGTGTGTTCTTTGTGGTGATTGATTTATTATATTGCACTAATTTAGGTTCTAACAGTTTCTTC